CAAAACCATGGCCCGCATTAGAAAATATTTTCATTGGCCTGGAGTGCGCTCGGATGTGACACTGTTCTGTAAAAGCTGCCCTCAGTGCCAGAAGTCTTCTCTTAAAATCCCCTCCAGAGCTCCTCTCCAGTCTCTACCAATTATCAGCACTCCATTTGAACGGCTAGGAATGGACATTGTTGGTCCTCTAGAAAGGAGCAAGGCAGGCAACCGTTACATGCTGGTTGTGACAGATTACGCTACAAAGTATCCAGAGGTCTTTCCTTTGAGATCAATAAAAGCCAAAGCAGTCGCCCTCTGTCTCATACAGTTCTTCTCAAGGGTTGGTTTTCCTCGTGAGATTCTTACTGACCGTGGCACTAACTTTATGTCCACTTTGTTGAAGCAGGTGTACCAGCTCCTTGGGATTAAGAGCCTGAGGACAACGCCATACCACCCTCAGACAGATGGCCTAACAGAGCGCTTCAATCAGACTCTGAAACAAATGTTACGCAAATTTGTCAATGAAACTGGTACAGACTGGGATCAGTGGCTGCCCTACCTCCTCTTTGCATATAGAGAAGTACCCCAGGCTTCTACAGGTTTTTCACCTTTCGAACTATTGTATGGCCATGAGGTACGAGGCCCCTTGTCTCTTCTAAGGGAGACTTGGGAGGGTGACCAAGAAAGATCACAGGCTGTCAATGTTGTCTCTTATGTTGTCCAGATGCGGGAACGGTTGGAGAAGATGACGGAGCTGGCCCAAGCCCACAAAGCGGAAGCACAGCAGCACCAGAAGGCCTGGTACGACCAGTCAGCTCGGCAAAGATCCTTCAGTCCTGGTGAGAAGGTGCTGGTGCTTCTTCCAAGTGATGACAGTAAGCTGTTAGCAAAGTGGCAAGGGCCATATGAGATCCAAAAGAAACTTGGACAAACAACCTATAAGGTCGCTATTCCAGATCAGCCCCGCTCCAGCAGAGTACTGCACATTAACCTGCTTAAGGAATGGGTGGAGAGACCAAAAGCAGATGTCTTTCTGATCCGGGAGGTTTCGGAGGAGGAGGAAGTGGATGATCAGTATCTGCCAAAACCCACTCCTCAGGACCTGGATCTCAACCATCTTCCTGAGGAAAGACAGGCTCAGGTGAGAAACCTGTGTAAATTAGATGTGTTCAGTGAAAATCCTGGTAGAACGGACATTGTGGAACATGACATTGTGTTGAAAGATGGAGCTTCTGTGAGGAGAATGAGTTACAGGATACCTGAGCGTCTACTGATCCCGTTGAAAGAGGAGATCGACCTGATGTTGTCACTAGGAATCATTGAAGCCTCGAAGAGCGAGTGGTGCCACCCGGTGGTCCTGGTGCCAAAGAAGGATGGCAGTATCCGTTTCTGCATAGACTTCAGGTACCTGAATGCAATATCACAATTTGATTCATATCCAACTCCCCGCATTGATGACATGGTTGAGCGCCTTGGGAAGGCCAGATACCTGACAACAATAGACCTCTGCAAGGGTTATTGGCAGGTACCACTGACTAAGCGCTCAAAAGAGCTGACTGCTTTCCGGACCCCGTGGGGCTTGTTCCAGTTTAAAGTCATGCCCTTTGGACTGCATGGTGCCCCGGCAACATTCCAGAGACTGATGGACCAGATACTGTCTGACATGTCTGATTTTGCTGCAGCCTACCTTGATGACATAGTGATTTTTAGTTCTACCTGGGAAGAACACCTGAAACACCTGGAGAAGGTATTGGGGCGTCTTCAGTCTGCAGGGTTGACTGTTAATCCAGCTAAGTGTGCCATTGCCAAGGCTGAAACTGAGTACCTTGGGTTTGTGATTGGAAATGGAGTAATAAAACCTCAAGTCAATAAGGTCACCGCCATAGAATCCTGTCCCTTGCCAGAGACCAGAAAACAGCTGAGATCATTTTTAGGTATGGCAGGATTCTATCATCGGTTTATCCCTCATTTCTCCGCCAGGGCAGCTCTTCTGACGGATCTGACTGGTGCCCGAAGTCCCAATAAGATCACCTGGACAGAGGAGGCTAAGATGGCTTTTCAGGACCTACGACAATCTCTGAGTAAGAGCCCAGTCTTGCACAGCCCTGATTTTGAGAGAAATTTCATTCTTCAGACTGATGCCTCAGAGAGAGGATTGGGAGCTGTTCTGTTACAGGGACCGCCTGGAGAGCGTCATCCAGTGGCCTTCATCAGCCGCAAGCTGTTTCCGAGGGAAGTGCGATACTCAACCATCGAGAAGGAGGGACTTGCCATCAAATGGGCCCTGGACTCCTTTAGGTATTATCTTCTCGGACGGGAGTTCATATTGGAAACAGACCACAAGGCTCTTCAATGGATAGAGAGAATGAAGGACACAAATGGAAGGATCACGCGATGGTACCTTGCAATCCAGCCATTCCGGTTCACCATCAACCACATCCCCGGCAAGGATAACTGCACTGCAGACTGTCTCTCTCGCTGTCCCAGGGAGAGATCTGAAGAGGGGGAGTGTGTGATGGCTGCACTTACAGCCACACAGTGGTAATACTCACCATGTTAGTGTAGAGGCTTATAAGTAACATTGCATTCACATTTCTTTCTTTAAATATAGGAATTTATTTACAGGACAATAAATAACTGGTTTTGGTTTAGAGTTAATTCACATATCCACATAACACTGCATTCTAAAATAAGTGCGCACATTTTAGTTTACACTGTTATGTATGATTAATTTTTTGTTTTCTGAGTTACCTTAGTTGCAGCTGTTCCAGTCCCTTGATTAAGGAGCCAAGAGGTGGAAAAGGGGCGGAGCGAGCTTTAAAGGAAGACTACAAATTGGTTCACGCCATAACTCAGGACCATGGGGGGGAATTGGAGTTCATTATGTTTGGTTTAGTTAGGTTTTGTGTGTTTTACCCCTTCTCCTGTTTTTGTGGGCTGATCAGCCACTATTTAAGTTTCCCCTTTGTCTCATTAAGTTAGGTCAGTTTGTATGAATTATCAGTTGTGTTGTCAACTTTGAGTAGAGTTTTGTTATTTTGACCTTGTAACAGCCACTATGGTGTGGTGTCCCTTTAAGACACCCAAGTCGAGGGTTGATGGTGTCATCAGTGTGTGCCACTGGTCTCTCTGCTCTCTCTCTCTGTGATGGTGTGGACATGTGCTTGCACGCTAGTACATGAGGAGGGACGGATTTTATGTTTTACCTCTCCAGACACCTTTGTTTGCAACGTTATGGGTTGTACAAACACTGTGCGCTATGTTTGTTAAGCTGCAGCCATTCAACCGGGCTTATATGGTTGATGAAGAGAAGGTATATTAAAGAACACACTGTGGAATCCCCAACGCCAGCGTGAGTGTGTATTCTTTTGGCTACCCTGCTAAGTGTTTTGCCGCCTCCTCTCAACCACTAAACGCAACCCAACGTTACAAAATGGCGCCCGAACATCTTCTCTTGGACCTCAGTATGCAGTATCTTCGAGCAGTTGATGATTGGTACATAAAAAGGTACGACGCGGCAAAGTGGCTGTCCGCCATGTTTGCGCGAACGGACCAGGCTGGCCTGGACGAGGACGTCCCCAACGCCAGCGTGAGTGTGTATTCTTTTGGCTACCCTGCTAAGTGTTTTGCCGCCTCCTCTCAACCACTAAACGCAACCCGACGTTACAACCTCTTTTATGGGCCCAAGATTTTGATTCTTTTTGCATGAGTTAACCAATTATGTTTTTTGGGTTAAATAAAAAAATCATTTTTTTGGATTTTAACCTGTGCCTAAGTTTCCTTCACTGCTCGGTCCATCACACAGACATATACAGAAAAACAATATGTACACGTACTTGCATTTACAAATACGAATATATATGTAAATACACACACGTATGTGCTCAGACAAAACAAATGACATGAAATGACAATTATTAAGTCTGAAATGGAGGAAGAAGTATAACATACTTATTAATCCCTACCCCATGCTCAACATTCTATTGAATCCCACTATTCATTGTTACCCCTAATTCCCATCATCACTTACCCCACACAATAAACAAGGAGGACATGTGTAAACATAGCTACAGTGACAGATATAATTTAGATACAATTTAGCATAGTTATATATATACAATGGGTGATCAACTTTATCAGTTTCATATTCTTCCAAAAGCAGTTTTCAAAACATCTTTATGAACTAATGCTTGAACATTAGCTTGTATATGCTTTATGTGAGGTTTCTAGCACATTTTGTTGTCTATTATCGCACCCAGAAATTTTGTATGAGAAACTTGCTGTACTTCAACATTATTTATTAACAATTTTGCTCCAGCATCTTTTTTTACAATTTCCAAATAACATAAATGTAGTTTTTTTTTCTTTCAAATTTAGTGATAACTTGTTACTGACCCCTGTGGAACTCCACAAACAGTCCAGGCACTCTGATTGATATTCACCAATCTTCACAAATTGCTGCCTGTCTGTCAAATAACTCCTTACCCACTCTAGCACCACTCCTCTAATGCCACAGTACTCCAGTTTATCAAGTAATATTTTATGATTAATTGTGTCAAAAGCTTTTTTTTAGGTCAATGAAAACACCAACTGTGCATTGTCTCTGATCTATATTGTTGGTGATATTTTCAATTAGTTCCATTAATGCCATGGATGTTGATCTATTTGGTCTGAAAACATACTGACTGTCCATTATTATTTTATGTTTATCTATAAATTTGTCAAGTCTATTAATGAAAACTTTTTCCAGTATATGGGGTATGTCATGAGATGTCCTGTTTTTTTCCTATTTCGGTCCTTGTGATTTTTCAGTTTATTCTGTGTTCCAACTCAACACTGGTTTTATCGTCTTAATCATAAATGCACAAACTCCTAATGGAGACAAACAGTGCAAGAGCAGACAACAGTCTGATAACACCTCTGAAGGTGACAGCTGTCTAAAGAGCCTCTGTTTGGTGGAAACAGATGCCTATCTTAACCTCTTAGGGTTGTGCGTATGAATTCACACACATGCAGACATCATCACATATGCAGACACCCGTCATCTGTGCTCTATACTTGCGTGCGATGTGAGACACTTGCTGCCGTGCTGACAAGGAGGACTTTCAACCTCTGCATACTTTACACAAACCTGCAAACTGTCCTCTTCATCAGCTTGACTGACAGCTCAGAAATGCTTGGGTTTCTTGACGTGTTCTAAGTTGCAATTGGTCAGATAAACAACTCTCAGAAGCAGACAGCATGCATCTTGTAAGGCAAGGAAATAGAAGACAGCAAGTGAGTTCTGCAGACAGACCACTGGCTTTATCTGTCTTTGTGTGTCCATTCCATTAGTCAGGCCATTAGTGAAACAGATAACAAGAACCTTCCTTTCTTTCTCTCCGAGTGAATGTTTTTTCTGACTTTTTCCTTTCATTAGAAAATACAACATTTACTTTTTCAGTCTTGTTTGTTAATTAAAAAATGTATTTCTAAAAAAATAATACTACCTTGACATTTAACACACAGGAACAGGCAGACAAGCAAAGTCAACTCTTCTATTGGCAAAAAGTAGTCAGACTGAATGTATCAAGTGTGACCTCGTATTGTACTGCAGGATTTGGCTGCACAATGACTGGGAACGTGATGCTTGGCAACTCTTATCATTCCTGTCTGTCAAACACAGGAATACTCACAGCCTGTGGGGACGGCTGCCCGAAATTCTCTGGAGAGGTCTGCTGTTGGCTCAGACTCTGCAGGTTAGAGATCTCACAAGAGAGAGGACGGCAGAGGAACTGAATGGGGTACTTTATTATTGTTGATTTTAGTTAAAGAATTACACCTGTCCATGACTGAATAAAACATAATGTACAGGTACAGTGATGAATGATACATTTTAGTAGAGACAGGAGGTAAAAAGTACTCTAACCTGACCAGCTGTGATTGTTTGTCCATGAATTAGAGAACAGGACAAATAGCAGAGATGCTTTTGATGTTGAGATGTTGAAACACGAGTACACAATCTTTTCAGTTTTTAGCATGATTTTTATGACATATCAGTACAGAAGGTCACCGATTCACAGAGGGAAATGCTGCATCAGCTTCAGAAAGATGATACTTCCTGCACTTTTTCTCTTCTTATATCAGCACTGATGTGGCAGTTTTGGGTGCAATACTGAGGGGTGACACCTATTGTTCAGGAGAACACTACAGGTCAGCTTCCCCCACGACTTGGCCCCGGATAAGCAGAAGAAAATTGATGAATGGATGGCGACTTCTGGGCGAAGGCTACGGACAGTGTGAAATGAAAGGTGGAACCATAAATGCTGGCAATATTACTGCTAAAGCTTATAAACTGTCAGATAGGATGGGATGTACAAGGAGAAACAGGGAAAAGGTGCACACAGTTGGACTATATGCTATAAAACATGGCAAAGCTAAAAGAATCTGGAGATTTTAAGGTGGTAGCAGGGGAGGATGTAGTGAGGTGCCACCAAATAGAATCAGTAGTAATGAGGAGGGTCATCAGAGTGAACGCAAGAGGCAAGGATCAAATGGCAAAGGCTGTTAGGGAGTAGTTAAGACAGACACTGCTTGGTAGCGATTAATTGCTAGACATCCACTGCAGAAAAAATGATGATGGTGATGGCTAGAAATGTGCTTAAATGGTACATGTACCATCTAAGACAATGCACGTATAGTTTGAGGAAAGTACATTTTCATGTTCCAGTATTGCCAGCCTTCACAGTTTGACCTCATTCCTCTCTTCAGATTAGAAGTAAAATCTCTAGTTCATTATTTCACAGTAAAGCCAACTGACATAAAGCTTAGTATCATTTAACAGTCATCTATATCAAAGCATATAAACAGTGGATCAAAACTCAGATACCTGTTCCAGCGCCCATTTCATTTTAATTAAATTTCCAAGGTGTGTTAAAAAGGAAGCACAGTGTACATAAACAGGAAATTATGAAATTTGATTGCTGTTCTGAGCACTAATCGAAGAAAATATATATTAAATAGTTGCCAGACAACTGGCTCAGGTAAAAATCTAAATATGAATGTTAGTATTTCGTCAGGTGAAACCTTTAAAAATATGACCCTCAGTGCCATGTTGCATTTGGCATAAGCAACATTTATAACAAAAGGAAGAATCTGAGCAATGCATAGTGAAGCTTATTAATCCCAACACTGACCACTTTCACAGTGAGCAGTATTGGGATGAATCATCCCAATGTGGGTGAGTCACAGTGAGTGAGACCTGATTTAGACTTCTGCTGGAAATCTACATCATAACTTACAATGGCTTGGAAGTTTACGGCATAGATTTCCAGCATGCTTAAGTCAGATTAGTCCTTTGGTACAGCACGTCAAAGTGTTTTGAGCCTGAAAAAAGGAAAATGGTTGGAGGATGGGGCAAGACCAAAACTATTGCACCTGTATCAATGAACTTTTTTGAAATGATTGCTTCAAAGGTAGGACCGTTCACAGTCAGCTGCAGTCTTCAAAGGAACTTTGTTGCATCAAGACACCAATAAAATGGCAGTAATATTGAGTTAGCCTGCTATCAGCCTGCTTTCAGTTTGTGAATGAATGTGGTCAAGTTGACAATCACATGTAATCTGTGTGTGATAACATGACTAACTAAATCAGCAAAATTGCAAATTTGTTGCCTTCTGTTGAAACTCATATTCTATAGAAATCCACGGTAGCTAGTTACATTCAGAGTCGACAGAACATCATAGTTTCCTCCAGAGATAGTGACACAGTTGCTGTAGGAAGACGACTTAATTACAAAATGACATAGGTGTGATTGCCTAGTACACATGATGTTGAGGGTTTTTTCATGCTCAACCACTGGGTGGCCACCTCTGGATCAACAGTTACAAATTCAATGCAATTATATTGCAGCTGCATATTTTTCCAGGTCACAAAGATGGTTGCCATCCTAGTTTTACTCTAGTGTGACAGAACCATTAGATAATTACAGACAGAATGGTTGAATTCTTAAAGTATCCCTCGTCAATATGTTTTGTACAAAGGGCACAGGTACTCTCCATTCCACGTTCAGCACCAAATGATAAAAAAATTTAGACTAGGTGATACATAATGGAAACTATCAGATAGCATTTTTGAGTAAAAAAAAAAGGATAAAATTTGCCTAAACTAAAAATAAATCCTTGAGGTTTTAAGTGTTAATGCCATTTATGCCAAAATGTGGTGGATTAGAGTAAATGCTTTGACAAAAAGATTCTAAAAATTCCTTTTTATGCTGTTAGGATGTAACTTTTAGCTTCTATTCAAGTAGTTATTTTAGTAACAATAGAACAATGTATAAAAAAGATGGATATATAAATCCATAGCACTCAAAATGACGTTGTTACATTTACAAGAGTCTAACTTGTAATTTGAACAAAAAATGTTTCTATGGTCAACGTAACTAAATCATGCAGGATCTGCATGAAATTAATTTATTAATTTATTCTTGTCGAGTTGGACTGAACTGCAGAAAAGAAGTTGATAAGCTGGAATAACAGAACTGCATAATCCTAAAATCCTTTCCATTATTTTTTATGTTCATTTAAATAATAATTTTTTAAGTGTAGTTTGCGAAGTCCTATTCCAAAGCCTCAAGTTGAGCATTTCCACTGTCACCATTGTTAAAGTCATGAGTGAGGTGCAAATTTGATTAAGAAACTGAGGGACTCTGCACACTCATAAGGTTCCAGTCACACAGGCTTATACTGGTCGGACACTCCCTGGCAAGCTCTGGTCAAAGACGGTGCCGCACCAAAAACCTCCTTGTTATTTCTTTGGTCGCTAGCAGATTACTTCACTCACACATTATATTGCATGGAAGATGCCAGGCTGAATCTGAATGCCTAAAAAAAAAGGGAAAAAAAAGGGAGGTTTTGGAGGAGCCTGGTCAAAGTCTGGACTTAAATATAATTAAAATTCTTTGGCATTACCTTAAATGGATGATTTAAAAACAACCAATGGGACTGAATTAAACAATTCTACAAAGAGTGGGCAAAATTCCTTCACAGCGATGTAAAAGATTCATTGAAATTATTACAAATGATTGATTGCAGTTCTTGCTGCCAAGACTGGCATGGTCCGATTGCCATCTTAATGGACCAAAGTTGCTTTGAAGACGACAAGTGGTGGTGGCGGATGTGGCCTTTGAAGCAACTGTTTCATAGGCAACAATATTGCAAGATTGCATATGGTAGCAATAATTTTGGTAATGCTGCAGTTGTGACTGTAGCATTACCACTGAAACAATACTTCAAGGCAATACTGTGAAGAAACTTTCAACCCTGAAAAGTGGAGCTAGTGTCACTAAAGCTAATACTTTGACATTGTAAAAGCTCTGAAAACATAATTTCTCAGTCGGCTTGTCACTGTGACTACTAGGATCCAACACCAGTAAAAGAGCCCCTCCAACAAAAATATCTGGCTCTCCGACATAAGCTAAAGTTTCAAGTTCTTGTTTACATAAAAACTTACACAAGCTTATGTTACGACCCGGCTCAAAGGCCGCAACGTAAAAAAAAAGAAGAGAGATGAATACCAGAGTGTTAGTGAGACGAGGTTTCATCTTAAAATGGCTGGTGCCACCAAGGCAAAGACAAGTGAGCTCCCCAGGAAGCTTGCCTCAGGTGTGCTTTTATTCACAGCTGACTAGGTGTGGCCAATTAGCACCAGCTGAACACATTGAGATGATTAGGGGCTGCAGAGGGACGTAACACTTATGCACAAACGTACTGCTGATTAAAATGTACATACACTGGCTATAATACAATAGCTCATGTATATCCCAATAAACATGACCTCTTCAAATCTAATACTGCCTACTCTCTAGTTTCACAGTGTAACACAATCATATCACATCACAATCGATATATAATCAAAGATATATTAACATACACTGCAGTACCTTAGTCAGGTTAATCATAAAAATGTGATCAACATACATGGAAAACAAGGAGTCCCAAGCCAAGTCTAAAGATCCAAGACATTACAGAATTCATTGGTGAGATTGCCAAACGTCTCAACTTTAGCCTTGTCTGTCCAAAGGCCACCAAGAGATATGAGTGACATGGAATGAAGGAGGTATACCTTCATACACAGCAATCCATGTGGATAGGTAAGTGGTATCGTCCTCACAGATCCAATCTAACCACTTGCAAATAATTGTACAGACAGTCTGCCTTAAAGATTCGATTTTCGAAAGAAATCTGATTTGGCAGCAAAGCCCAAATGTGTTTAACCTCTGTCAAACTTAATCTTTCTGTCATGTTTCTGTTTGGCAGTTGCACTTTGCAGTTTTGAGTCTTCTAGCTCTACGAAACAAAAGACTTAACAGAAATATGCTGTTTGACAAAACATTTGTTTCTCCATATTTTATTTGTAACACCTGTTGAACATTTGCCATCTGACATAAATCTTAAATTCAAAACTGAACAACCTAAAAAACCCACTCTTCAGCTTAAGATCTTTGTGGCCTCAAAGAAGAAAAGAACTCACATTCAAACAAGCCCACATACTGAGAGAGAAGTTGTAAAGTAAATTGCATTGTAATTTATGGAAAATTAGCTTTTTATATGGAGATTCTTCGCTGTCCATCAACACACTCAGAATTATGGCATATGTATTCTTAGTAAGCCTGTGAATCACTCTGTTCATTAAAAGGAATCCTTTAGATTTTTTAAATGTTTTTACTCCGATTTGAGTCAATGTTGCAGTGTCCATTGGGCTGTATTCTGGGAGAGCACAATGTGTTTCTATCATCCACAGCATGACCTTAATCACAACCAGGTGCCGCACATTCAAATTAACATATGGTTCTAACTTTCCTCCTATTTTGACAAATGCATACCTGGGTTGCTGACTAGTAAAACCATAAAATGAATTCTTCTTTTTTATTATTCACAACACAAGGATGGCGGGGAAAGCAAGGTGGAACAGAGCTGAGAATGATTTCACCTTGCATGCAACCCTCCTCTGCTCGTGTTGTGCACCTTAATACATGACTGTGATCACAGTTATTAGAAGCAGGACCTTTTGTACTTGGCTGATCCAAAATCTTTTTTTCTATTTATTCATAATTTGGGGTTATAAGTTACATTTGTAGTGGGCATTAACAGTCTAGAAGAAAGACTTTAATGTGATATTTTCATGATCTGCGACTGCAGTTAAACAGATGGATTCGTATGTTCAACAAAAACAAACCTACAGTCTACATTTTTGCACTTGAGGACTGCAAATATCACTGAGAGGTGAAAGGTTTGCATGTCAATACAGGGATGTGGCATCAGTGCAATGTACATAGCAGGTTCCTATTCATCAATCTTCCATACTATAGTGGGCACAATAGGTTTAAGTTTTAAGTAAGTAGCTTTTCTACCAGTTCCCATCAGTTAAAGGAATATACAAAGTCTTTGTTTACTCACAAACCTGGGCAAGACAGTTATATCTAGTATGTTCCATACTAAGACAGGAGGGTTAAGTTCCGAGTCCCATAACACCTCAAGCCCTAAACATAATTCACTGTTCACCAGTTATAGTCCTGAAGTCTTGAGTCCCAAGCCATGATAGTTAGACAACATCAGCCTGAAGAGTAATGCAACAAAGTTGCCAGATCAAGACAGTGTAGAGTCTTGAAGCACAGTTCAAGGCAAATAAGGCAAAGCAGTCCAGTCTCGAGTTACAAAGCAAGCTAAGGTGGTTGGATTCTGTTTAGATCCTGTTTGGACCATGCTGACATAATCACACCTTGACGCCCTAAAATCCACAAATGGGAGTGTGGAAAAATCCCAGTAGATTAACAGTTTCTGAAAAACTCAGACCAGCCTGCCTGGAACCAACAATGATGCCACATATGTCACTTGAATCATCTTTCTTCCCTATTCTGATGCTTGGATTGAACTTGTCCATGTCTTGCCCATGTCTACATCTCTAAATGCAATAATTTAATGCACTTTGACTGGACGATTAGATATCTGCATTATCAAATATATATTAGGTGTACCTAATAACATGGGAGACGAGTGTATATAGTTATAGCAAGAGCCAAGTTCAATGTTAAGACAAGTCAAGAAAGTCCAGTCCCAGTCAAGACAGTTACATCCAGAGTCACATCCAACATCAGAGGAATTACAGGAATGATCTATTTTACATTAATACGGCAATGTTACCTCTTCACCTCTGTCACAGACATTTGGCAACATGTTTGTTTATGGGTGAGAGGATGTGAATAGTTCCCCATTTGCCATGACTTCATACAGAAAAGGTAGTAACAGTCCAGGTAAATGGTTTGTGTCTGCACCTTTCAAGCAAAAAGTTATCATTGTACAGTAGTCACAATAGACACAGACTAGCAACCACTGATTAGAGGAATCACAGAGAGTTAGTTGGACAAATTTCTATATGTAGCTTTCTGTTGTTGTTGTTTGTCATTTACATTTTCTCTGGTCTTGTGCTTGCTTGACCAAAGCATTACAGGATGTTTTTATTTCTTGTCACAGTTGTGAGAGACCAGAACTTCTTTTCCTCCAGTTTACTTTAGGAAGGTGAAACCCCATCTACTGGATCTTTAAAAAATGTGCACAGCCATTAATACACAGATGCAATTTCTCTCATCCAAAGACACATGGTAATATCCTAAACCTGGTATCCACAGGTCCCTCAGAAAAACACTGTATCTACATTTGGCAAACAAGCGCTTCCTTTCAGTATTGTGTTGCTGTCTTTCTGCATGCTGTGAGTGATGTCGGTCCTCATTTGTGGACTTGTGGGCCAACACCCAACCATGAAACTAATGTGAACCCCAATTGAACCTGGGATAATCTGCTGTTGCATGGTCATCGCAGGTCAGCAAACTGTTGCCCCAGCTTTGTTTAGCTCCTAATTTTCCCTTATATCTACAGCAAATGTAATGAGTGCACATTTACAATTAACGCCTTAATTCAAAATTTAGCCCAGTAAAATAAATCTAAATTCTGAAAGCCAAGAGGAATGGAGCAAATGCTCAATCTTGTCCATTTTATCCACACTAATTAGTCTGTACTTTAGTCTTGTAATGATTAGTTTTGTAAATTTTCTTTCAAAGTGAGAAAGCGATCAGAAGGGTTTGGCTTTTTTACTGTTGAGGTGCAATTCTGTTCATGCCTAACAGACTGTCAGGCTGGGGGTCATCTTACATTAAAATCAGAAACCCATGTGGCAGCTTTAAACTGCCAATGAAAGCAGTAGAAGATGACTAACAGCCCCTGGAAGTGCTGATGATGACAGACGCATGTGGATAAAATTATAGGATGGACTAAGATATTTCCTTTATTGATATTTATACCAGGGTGTCCAACTGTGTTATTAAAGGGTTTGAGGGCAAAGGGGTTGTGAAAACCATTAAAACACTTCCCTGAAGTTAAAGAGGTCCTTCGGGAATACATGGCACTTTCACTAATATGAATGTAGTACATGTGATCGATATCTGAGAACGATCCCTTCCTTGCATCCTTTCTCTCGAGTCTGGAATGCCCTCCTGTTCTCGCATCTAAGCCGTGAGCCGGATCAGAGCTGTATATTGTGTTACTGTTTTCATTTCTACCACATGGATTTCTAGCCTTGGTAAAAATTCACCACCCAAAGCTCTTGTATCCACAATACAACACCTGGAAAAAGAAACTCTTCATTAATCTCCACAGCCCCTAAAAATCTGTGGTTTTAAAGCACTCCTTTTTCCAACCCACATGTGAAGCGGCACAGCGGCTGGTCGGCAGAGCCTTTGTTTTAGAATAACTCTGGGTTATTTTCAGGTCATTGTGGCTGAGTGGTTTCTTAATTGAATTTCTAAGCGTTTTGTTTAATATGCCACCGTTAAGAGCTTTAAAAATAGCTCAGTGGATGCAATGACCTAATCTTTTCCGGATTTTTGGAGAGATAGATAATCCTGGATGGTCTTTATCACTCCTGCTAACAGCTGATGAATGAGTAATTACAGAGAACCAGCGATTAGATCAGTATCAGTGTTGTTCTTCATTTAAGAGTGCTAAATCATGTGGTGTTGCACTGATTACTTATATCTCTATAATGCAGTTTTATAGGACGCTTTCCCTCTCTTACTTGGTGTACTGTGTTACCATATCCTTATAAATTCAAGCAAAGCTTTTAAAGATTTGGACCGAAACAGCCTGGTATCTGTGCCGACTGATGATCGAGGGCACTCTTTTAATTGCTTGCTTTCATGAAGACTAACAAATAATGAAAACTTTGAATAGAATTTTCTGAGGTAAGCCCTTTAATTCCTTCTATATTACATTTGTCCTTACTCATATCCACAGCGCATATTAGTGACAATCACGGAAAGTTTAATAGCCGCCCAGCTGAGTTTTTGTTTCCAGTGGACAGTAGCTTCAAATCTGAAAATCCTTTTCATAATACTAGGAGCCATGAAATCATAATAACATCTATCCTCCCTCTCGAAAACTGTCCAAATGTGAGTCGGCCAATGAGATTACACAATATCGTTTCTCTTGCTGCCTAAATATGGAACCACTGTGTTTTTGATGTTCAATAAACAATCATATTAAATGTTTGTGTGGAAGATGCAAATGAATCAATCATCTTTTGATAAATCATTTAGGAATACGTTCAGATACATTGCAGCCATTAATTTAAATTAATTTTCATAATTTAGATTTGATATGAATCTTTTTTTGTTCACAAGATTTCAGTTCAATTTTATTCATATGGCGCCAAATCACAACAACAGGGTCGGCTTTAGCTCAGGAGGCAGTGCAGCTCATCTACTAAATCTACATCTCAGAAAGTTGGTGGTTCAATTCCTGGCAGCTCCAACTCCGATGGATGCTCCCTGCTTCATCCACTGCAGTGTGAATATTCAACAGAAAAGCACAGCAAAAGTGTAGAGGTGAGTGGTTTATATTGAGTGCTTAGCAGCAGAACCAGTCCATTTACTGTCCAGTAAGGGAACTAAACCTATACTGCTAATCAGATTCCACAACAAAAGACTTCCAACCATGTCAAATTTAATCATTTCATTATGGTTGTGCTGTATAACAGTTATTTTCAGTTTGTGTTGTGTATGAAGTACGATACAGTGCTTCCTTGCTTTTTGTAGGTAGAGTAGTTCTTTACTGTGATATTGCAAATAAAAGGGTGTTTTTATTAAAACAAGGTTGATATCAGGACACATACCATTGTTTCACCATGTCATAGCCCTACTTCGGATTTTATGGCTCATAACCAAAACCCCTGTAGAGAATATGAATGAGGTTCTCAGTCATCCAGGTCATCGTAGTCTAAGGAGCTTGGAAAGAAAAGCATCTGGACTTCTTTAAGTTTCTTGAAGACGTTTCACCTCTCAGCCAAGAAGCTTCTTCAGTTCTAGGAGCAACTGGTGGAGAGTCCCACCCCAAGAGGGGACACTCCCCTAAGACGGTCATGGACCCCTCTATTCTTTTTGGGTCCTCGCCCTCAGTTGTGGTATAGCACGTTGCCTACAAATGGGAAGGTCAGTGGATTCCTGACTCTTCCAGCTGTATACCAAAGTATCCTATTGCCCCTCATGCATCCACACAAGTTTGTAGCAAAACACATGACATTAAACAACACCTTACACAATTACATTTGTTCCCTAAACATACATTCCTGGCAGCAGAAAAAAAGCCGTGAAAGCAACACTTTTATAAATAAAAAGAAACTTATCAGCAAAACTATTTACATAATGATCAAATGCATTGCTGCATTAACTTTTATTTGGAATTTGGTCTCTGCCAAAAGAAGGCCAAATGTCAATGTTGTTATTTTCGTTGGCATTTTTAGTTCTGCTTTGTTCGCCACCAACTTTTAAAAGCAGGCCCTGTTTAACATTTGAGTTTTCCCGGATCCACTGCTTGCATGAAGAGTGATAATTCTGGGATAATAATGGGTGAACACTTCATGTAGCCATAAAACCCATTGTTAATATAGCAGTAATGATTCTAGCACTTTGTAACTAACCAGAGGAATGATGTGCGCTCGAGTGTCCTGAGAACAGCTAGTTTGTCATCAAGCATCATAGAATGGTAAATGGCCTGTATTTATATAGCGCTTTACTAGTCCCTAAGGACCCCAAAGCGCTTTACATTTCCAGTCATCCACACATTCACACACTGGTGATGGCAGCTATATTGTAGCCACAGCCACCCTGGGGCGCACTGACAGAGGCGAGGCTGCCGGACACTGGCGCCTCCGGGCCCTCTGACCACCACCAGTAGGCAACGGGTGAAGTGTCATGCCCAAGGATACAACGACCGAGACTGTACAAGCCGGGGCTCGAACCGGCAACCTTCTGATTACAAGGCGAACTCCCAACTCTTGAGCCACGATATGCCATAATTCTAAATACAGTGATGTGTTGGTTAATCACTTGTCAGGGATTGAGGGTAGCACAAAGACACACACTCACAAAGACATCACCATGAAAGCTAACAAGGCCACGTTTCACTTCACTGGAAGAGCACTGTGACTAAGAGCTGCCCGCTCTCCACACAAGGGTCTGCCATCTCTCTACACTACAACAGCCGTGCCTGTATTTATATAAGCTGCAAAGCAATTTTAACTGTACATTCCAGATAGGTGAACAGCGCTTGGCTCAGGAAGATGGATATTTCAAAGCTTGCAAAGAAAAAATTTTTTAACGGTCAATGTCCAGTCAGAAAACTTGGCACAAAGAGGTGCAACAAAAGTAACTGAGATGTATTTATGCGTCTGAGCTCACAGAACCCTGGTACACCTTTCCATACGTTGTACTGTAGTACAACTAAATATGAAACCAATTACAAACTTGGGTCGGCACTACAAACACAGTCAATTCAGGGGGGTGTTCTTTTTATTTATCATTCTCCTTGAATACAAGCATTTATTTCATAATCTCCTTTTTGGTTTTTCATCACGTCACACAGACTGGTTTGATAAATAATAAATGTGTTTACAGCCCGTGCAAACTGAGGTAATATTTGCCCACAGAAAATGTTCTATCCATCAACTGATTCTTGTTTCGGGGCCTGTTGCTCTCGGCTTTGCTCACATGATAAATGAACATCTGAGTAATTTCACGGATGAATTAGGAGCTAGAAACAATAGCAGAAAAAAATGCATCGGCACACATTCCACCTGTTGCCTAATGTAAAAAAGAAAAGAAAGAAATGCTGGTTTTTGTTATGGTGTTGATGTTTCATGCTGATGGTGGTTAAGATAGAAAGTCTGGCAGAGCTGCAGAAAATGCTTTTGATAATGAGAATAGAAAGGCAAACATTTCTTGTCTCCCTCAAACCAGAGTGCAATTAACAGAACATGGAGCTCTTATCATGTCTCCGCTAATGTCCGTTCATTACAATCACTTCAAACCTTTGTGTCTGCTAACCTAAAAGTTCAAACTTTTACCTGCCGGCATGGGGTTTGCATGATTGTCTATAATCAGAAAAAAAGCTAATTTTCTCTGATGAAAATGATTCAGTCAGTTTAAGGGCACAGCACTACAAAAACAAGCTAGCAGAGCAGGGCTGATGTTTAACTGCGTGAAATGATGAAGTGTCGGGCTGATCATGTCTATCAGCATCACTGACTAATCTCCTCCAGATGAGAGTAATCTGTGTAACTCTGGCCACCATCAAATCAGTGTGGAATCCACTCAGCTTTCAGGGAAGAAGGTGCCGCACGAACAATCCAGACTGGAGCAATAACAGTTGTTTTTTTTACTGCAGGTGTTTGAGACTCTCGAGCTGCCAAAGAACCCTCTTACCCAGTCGGACCTCTCCTCAACTCTTACCTCACTAAATGAAAAGAGTGGTGCCCAGATTTGTATCAGACAGATCTGTGTTTTCATATTAGACCCGGTGAAGAATTACAGCCGTGCCGGGGCCACCTTTGACTGAGGAAACACACTGCTGCTAGCAAAGAAGACTGGTGAAGTCTGACTGCATGTTTGCTTAGAATGAGCATGCAGGAATTTATCTACAAGGGTACAAACCAATTCTCAAATGCACTTTCTGAGAAACTACATGAATGTGAAAACATGAAGCCAAAAGGAACACTGCCCATTCTACAAGGAGCGAGCCTTCGAAGTGTAAGTGGGCAGCAGTACAGTAGTAACACCTCTAATGGCAAACTTGTGTTAACAATGCCATCATGTGGACTCTTACACATCTTTGTAAGCAGTGGACACTGATGCCTTAGTGTTAACACAAATGCAACTGAGCAAAAAAACATCAGGGCAACTGCAAGTTTCAATCTTGCAGTTTCTAAAAGAGGCAATTTATTTCCAAGTTACTGTTTTATCTGACACAAACACACACACACACACACACACACATGCGTGCACACGCAGGTGCCAGTTTTGTGTGGGCACACTATAAATTTCATCTTCTTGGAATGAGAAGAAATATCATCCCATCCTCCACGTTGGTTTGCCACTCCTTACTCACAGCTGTAGTTAGTTTTCCGTAGTGGGAAATGACAAGGCCAGATCCTGGAAGTGTAGCATCAGCTATACTTCCATTCACAAGGACAGAAGCCAGATAGCAAATCATTCATTCAAGTCGAACGTGTACCATGTTTTTGACATGCACCACTCGTAGCTGTAATGAGCCTTCCTAGTGGGGAGAGACAAAATACTACAGCTGCATTTTTCTTGGATCTGCACATTATTGTCACTCCCCACTCGCTGCCGTGGTGAGTTTCCCTTGTGGGGAGTGATGAGGTAAGAGTCTACAAACTAAATATCAGTCTACGTTCAGCAACTGAGTCTGCACATCACGGTCACTCCCCACCGACTGCTGGACTGAGCTTTCCTTGTAGGGAGGCAAAACTGAACATTTTTTACATTTATAACTTTAAAATGTATATTTTACTCACAACATAAACAGATTTAGACATGTAGACTATTGCAGTGCTAAAACCAATTTTGCTTTGATAATGCAAACTTTCTAGATATTACACATAGTCCAGTAGATTACTGTAGCTGAGTCTGGGTGGTTACAATTTAAATTTTTAGACTATTCTTACTCAGCCAGGTTTTCAAGCGTATGTTACAATGTGACAGCATGAACAGCTCTTTGATGTTCTATCAGTGCAGGCTAAAATAAAACTGGTAAATTATTTATCTATTCATTTTCTTCCTTAAAAGTTGTCATATCAGTAGAACATCACATAACCTACAGTTTTGACTTTTATTGTGTGTTTGTCTCCTGAGTCGTATTTTCACAATAAAAATGACACAATATGCTTTTTTTGTTTTGTATTAAAAAATAAAATCCTTGATTATGAGTATTTAGTTATTTTTTATTCACTTCTTTCATTTATTTGAGGAGAAGTTTTAACATTTGTTCCCTGCTGGGCCTGAGCTTTATGGCAGAAGTAAGACCAACTATTGAATTTAGGTTTTAAGTCAAGAAGAGGTTCAAAAGAATCCATTATCAACACTGGCAAGAACTTACAATTAGTTAATGTCTAATTAATCTTCTCATCTCAATACATTTGACGCAGATCCTTTGCATGTAAATGCTTAAAAATGTGGATTGTCTAATTTAAACATTGTTATTGGGCTAAAAGCCCGACTTTCAGTCACAGTGCTAAAATGAAAACATTATACACGCCTCCTGAGCTCATTATTAGGATTGACTAGGATCTTGTGTCTACTGCACTCGTACTGTGTAAATGAAAAAGGGGCCATTATGCCAGTGACAGTCTTATCACTCATTTGCGTTTGTCATCTGGTCTTTGGCAGGAGCACGAGGAGCAACGGTTCGGGCTCCTCGCTTGTTTTGCTTCTCTTGTTCCTCCCGTCTACCGGCTGACTTGAAGAATAAGGGAATAAAATGAATGGGTGAATTTGAGGAGATTCCAGTTTCTGTTCATCTCCCTCTTCAATTACTTCACTCCCACGCCACCCATGACATCATGGAAAACTTTGCAGGGTCTAGCAGTTTGAAGTGAAATGCTGCGCTGCTCTCACTATTTTGAGAGATGGCAGGAATAGTTCCGTCTAAAAATACCAACCTAAATCATAAGATTCCTCAGGCACTTTCACCTTCAGCCCTGTGATGTGAGCGACATATACACCAGCTTGATCTGGGCTGAGAACATATTTAATCATTAGTTCCTAAAATATTCAAATAACCTTGTTTTGATTTGGCCTGGAGGATTGTTCTGAGGATGTGACTGGCATACTTAACCTTTTCACCTGATTATTGACTTTATTGTTAATATTAATATTATATTACTTTTGTAGGCACTAATAGAAAAATGGTGCTAAAGAAATGACAAAAAAAACAAAACCAAAACCCTAAACATAATAGAATACAGTAAAAAAAAATCGAATCAAATCACTACAATTAGAATAAATCTATTAAATTACTTCACAGACACTCCAAACTGTTTCTGCTCGAGCATGCTTTGCCCTATGCCACTTTTGGACCGTGCATACACAACCCACTGTAACGGTTTGACTTGTTTGCAGAGTTGCATGCTGTTGCTCATACAGGATATATCAATTTTTATAGCTACTCACCTCTACATACACAATAGCCGTATGATTTTCTTTGCTTATCTCTGCTTAGCTTCATTGAGTGCTGTGTAGCATTATCCAGGGAAACTAGGATACTTGAAACTAAAAGTCAAATTCCATTTATGGGAAACGTGCTTGGGAAGTAAAAACAAGATTCAGATTTTAATCTGGATAGACACTAGAGATTTATTTATTTATTTATTTTGTGAACAACAAATAGTTCATTCAAACAAAAGTTTAAAAACTGCTTGTTGAGAATGTTTGGAAATGTTTTAAAATAATCAGAATATTATATTGAGACATATCATTTTTCAGCTTTTAGGAAGATTTTCGTGCAAGCCCTTGAAACTGTCATTTCAGCTTAAGTGCTTTTTTGTATATCACAAAAATTTTAAAATGAGCCCTGCCCAATACAACCTACCCAAAAAATCATAAACAAAGACAAGAAAATCTCTCATTTGAAACGACTACAACAACAGAAGATCACATGTTCACATAGGAGGCCAAATCTCAGAGTGCAAAAATAAGATTTCAACCTAAAACTGCAGCAGTGAAGAACAGAATCAACCGTCATTACTTAAAAAAAGATAGACACAAATCAAGCATATAACAGCATTTGAACAGTCAGTTTAGTTTGATGGACAGGGTTATTTAATGTGGATAACATTAAGGTAGTTAACCCTTTAATGCCTTAACCATGGAATAATTGTCAGAAAATTCAAATTTTTTTGAAAATTGATCATTAATTAATCAGATTTTAAGTTCCACACATGACTTTTAGTTTGTATCACCTTTGCTACATCTTTTTAAAAAAGTTTAAAAATGTATTGTACAATTTATTTAGGTTTTCAGGGGGGAAAATCACACTGATGATATAGAAAACTCACAAAAAGTGTATGTGTCAAATATGATATACTAGGACTTAAGTCGCTAAAGAGCAAAGGATTTCAAATGGAAAGAAAGGGCTCACCATTCTTGCTTTCTCTTGATTGTATGTGTTTCTTCAACACGTGGTTTGTCCTCTCCTTGTCTCCATGAAGCTGCATGGCCCGCTGCAGCTGTCCAGGACACCGTCTGTCTTCTGGACCGTTGTGGACCTCAGAGCTTTTCACTGCATTCATGGCTCACACTTCATTCCCCAGTAGATGACATCTCTTCTCGGGTCACCTCCCTTTTGAAGAGAAAAAGACACAATGAAAACTCATAGTCTGTGCACATCATAATAAAAACACTTGACTTTGTCGCTGCCACCTCAGTCAGCTGTAACAGCTAAAGGAGCTCAGTTAATTGAGTTTGAACGAGCACGAAAGACACAGCAAACAGCCATTTGAGTGTTTGCGTTTGAAAACTCCTCCGTGGTGCCGAGAACTGGACTCAAGCCATGTTAGTGTTTGAAGAATACAACAGCAGTTCCAGATTTTGCATTGTTTTTTTTGGGTTTTTTTCAGAGGTCCATTTCGGATCAGGCAGACAGCAGAGCGTGTGTTTGTTTACAGAACTTTAAGCCCACTTTTAGCCTCATGGACGCAGCCCTCCATCAGCTGCTGCTCTTGCCAACTTATCAATTTACGCAGTGTACAAAGAGCAGACCTTCTTACCTCGTGAACAAATATTAAACACATCTACAATGTGGATTCAGTAGCTTAGAGAGCCCCCACAAAGTGTCAATGTGAAAAATGAGCCTCACTCAGGTCTTAGACAAGCCAAGCTCCGTGCGCCCTGTCTGCGCTCTTCATACTACATCGTCTCCCGAGGGCACCACCATAGGGCACTGCAAACATCTGCATCTCTGTTTTCTTTAATAAGTTGTGTTTGGAGAACTGCTCATACCATGCTTATGGGACAATAAAACCCTCATATGTATGCATGTGCTGTACAAATAGCAAGCTTTAGAAAAGGCTCTTTCATCTGGCTAGAGTATTGTCAAGGCTGACAGTTACACAATCTTTGCTAAAATAAATGCAAATTTTTAAAACGTTGAATAGAGGAAGTGCAGGTAAATGAAGCAAAGTTAAATAGAATGGAAATGAGAAAGTCACTTCATCGACTTCAACCACACTGATGCACAAGCTGCATGAGAGCAAAGCTAGAAAAATGGGATCAAATACCATGGTCACTGCCTCCGATAAATGACTCTCATATGCATGGTCGGCTGTTTGCCTTACCCAAGGAGGTTGGTTGCTGCAACTTAATCAAACTTTAACCCTGCCTTCCTAAAAAGCATATAGGAAACAACAAAAATTTAACATGAAGTCTAATATTAGAAGGAAACATAATATTTCCTCTGACTGCATATCATTCTTTACAAAATAACTGTTGTAACCGATGTAACAGCAGAGTTCAGCTACTCTCAAGGTTAAACACGGTCAAGGCGCTTGGTCCTGAGACAAAGACTGTATATAAAAGATGGACTTGGCAGCTGTAAAAGTCTTTCACATTTGTGTGAGTATGAGAAACATGCCGATCACAGTGTACGCCCTCCCTTTAACCTTTTACATAGTTATAAAATGACCATCATGATTGAATGAAATGTACTGAGGTCACAAACCAAGGGAGCTAAGGACTTCTGTTCCCATAGACTTCTAAACAGCCCGACTGCAATAACAGGATCAACGCCTGCTGATTTTTCGAATGAGTGCAGCTTTGAGGCACTTGCTTATTGGCTTCTTTTTTAAGACCCAGAAACTACATTCATCTTTTGAGCATGTAGTTTATGAGATGAGCTCCAGCACATTCACTCCTCACAGTAATTCAGGTATGCTGGACCTTACTACATTCATCTTTAAGAAATCAGCCACATTAAAAGCACTGAGAGGTTAAGTGATTAACATTGATCATCCTGATACAACTGCAATGCTCTGCTGGGAATCCCTTGAGTCTGACAGAGTGCCGCATTTTCCTCTTGCAGGACAGAGAATTTGAGCATATTTTCAACCATGCTTCTTCTGTAAAATCTCAAAAACGGATGCTCTGGTGGTATTCTGGGGCTTGATTCACCTCTTCTAAGAAATAGCTTTAAAGACACTGCATCTCCTCAGACGATATCTTGACAAATAGATTATGTGTGGCGTGCTTAAAAGAACAAAAAAGGTTGCACACTGTACTGCACATAAACACCAGCCAGAGAAAACAATAACAAACCCATGCATTTAACTCAGAAACAAGGCAACAGTTACAGTAAATCATAGTCGGGTAAAAGGCTGGGACTCCTCCGTGGAGCTTCAGGAGGAACCTCTTTAATGAACGCTTAACTGATGGGCTTGGCTTAAAAGCCCACCCAGATGCAGATAGGGTCCACTCTGACAATTTATACCACAGTGACAACCCCTACTGGGAATAGACAGAGATAGACAAAGGAAAATAAAAGACAAAGACAAAGAGTGGACAACAATGACAGCCACATTCACCTCCATGATGGATAGTAGTGCATACTGTAACAAGTTATCAGTAAATCTAGTTTTTAAAGAATATCTGAAGAAAAATGCCTGTTTACCAGAAGGCTTTAATGGAAATGTGTGGATGAAACAAAGGAAAGCAGGTCTTCAAAAGAACCAGGTTATAATCTGATGCTATCTAGCACATGGTGGCCTGTATCTCTGTGTCAACACAATATGAGCCAAGACACGTGGCACTTGGAGCTCCATTAAGATGAGCCGATAGCAGGTCACACTTGTCAGTTGTTCTCTTTTCAATTCCTTCATACCTAAGACTTGTTGCAAGTATTATCTGCCCTTCTCTCTAATGACTTATAGATTGAGGAAGGACTGGAAGGGTGAATTGCCAGTCGTGTCTTTTCCTTGGTGAGATGTACATCTTTATTACCAGCCAGTGTTTAGTTTATTGGTCACAGAATCTGCTTGCGTGATGTCCCAGTTAAAAACACCATGTCGTAGATTTTACCAGTGATGTGAGGGAGATACAAATATAAACAAACTGGAACAAACAGAAGGTGAAGGGAAAACACTATTAGAATATTTAGGCCCACTTTTAGGCAGAGTAGCTGTAAACTTACTATGAGTAATATCGTATCATGTGCAAATTTATCAAGAATAAGTAGGTTCAAGGCACACATAAAACGGGGCCAACTGCTGCGACCGGTTGGGGTGAGAGAAGAAAGACAGGATAAGACATGCTGTGGAAGAGAGACAGAGATTAATAACAAGTATAACTCAGTGAAGAGAGGTCTGTTAACACATAGTGAGTGAAAAGGGTGAGTGAAGAAGAAAACCTCGATGCATCATGGGAATCCCCCAGCAGCCTACACCTATTGCAGCAAAACTAAGGGAGGATTCAGGGTCACCTGGTCCAGCCCTAACTATATGCTTTAGCAAAAAGGAAAGTTTAAGCCTAATCTTAAAGTAGAGATAGTGTCTGTCTCCTCGAATCCAAACTGGAAGCTGGTTCCACAGAAGAGGGGCCTGAAAACTGAAGGCTCTCCCTCCCATTCTACTTTTAAATACTCTAGGAACAACAAGTAGGCCTGCAGAGCGAGAGCGAAGTGCTCTAAAGGGTGATCTGGTACTACAAGGTCATTAAGATAAGATGGGGCCTGATTATTTAAGACCTTGTATGTGAGGAGCAGGATTTTGAATTCAATTCTGGATTTAACAGGAAGCCAATGAAGGGAAGCCAAAACAGGAGAAATCGGCCCTCTCTTTCTAGTCCCTGTCAGGACTCTTGCTGGAATGAAAGATGAATGTAGCCATCATGATATCACCTGTTAGTTAGTGACGTCCCATTGATTGTGAATCCTTGAACTAGCTGTTAGTATCTTGGTCTTTTTTAACCACGTGTGTCAAACAAGAGATAGATGTGCCTGAGAAACTGACTGTGAACACTCAAAGGGTGATTATCTTACAAATTATGTCCATCCTCATGAATACGCTTCTTTATCATTTTAGACTAGTAACTAGTGATTACGACTTCAAAAAGACTTTTAAACCAGACCTGCCCATTTTTAGAAAGAATTCAGATTTAAGGCACTGGGTTATGTACCCAGAACCTAAGTCTGTCTTTTATATATGGTTTATGGCATTACCCTATTTCAAAGTAAAGAGACAGAAAGACAATACCAAAGATGGTAAAAACAGCTTGCATAAATGACTTTTCTACTTGCTTTCTAAAGAGAAATGTTTGCCTTCCTGTGCAGTTGTAAATATTCACAAATATATTCAGAAAAATCAGACAATGATTTGCAAATTTCCATTTCCTGTTATTCTGCAAATATGTAGACCCTCTCGCATAGAAATGTGAAAGAGTTAGAGGTGCTGATTTATTTTCCTATATTTCATCCTTTTATCTTTCAGTGCTGAATTTGTTTACATATTCAAATTTGTAATTACTAAACATCAATAGCGTTCACCAGGGAAGCATAAATTTATAATACCAACTGCCAGGATACTGAATGCCCCTGATAATAAAAGTAAAAATTCCATTTATTTTTCCCAGTCATAGCACTTCTATTGAATGGGTAAGAATTAATCTTTCCCAGTTGAATCATCAGTGAAAAAGATAAACAAGTTTGTTGAAAATGAAAAGGGTGCAACTCTGTAAAATGCTTAGAATGACACAAGATCAGCAGTACCCCAAGAGCCTTCACCAGGAATTCAGTGGGAATGTGGAAAGGCCAACTTCAAGCCAGCTGCACGACTTAACATCAACTGCAGGATTCACCATTGTTGTTCTGGCCTGTAGGCCTGAACCCCCTCAACCAGATCATCAACAAGACTGGCTACGGACACATGCTCTACATGGATGACATCAAGCTGTGTTCCAGGACTGAACAATATCATCAATTCACTGATCCACATCACTACAACACCAACACTGGAATGTCATTCGGATCAGAGAGGGGTAGTTGGATGTAACAAAAAGAGGAAATTTAGTGAGAACTGTGGGAACAACCAGAAGGCAACATTGCAGACATTGAGGACAGCTGTAAGTATCTTGGAATACCACAGGGAAATAGAAACTATGAAGAGGCTTCTATGAAAGCCACCAAATGCAGACAGTAAGGCAATGCCTGAGGACTCAGGGAAGAACAAGATCCATGCACCCTGCTGGTTGTCAGATACCCTGCTGGTATAATAAGCTGACCAAAGGAGGAGATACCATCCACTGACATCAAGACAAAAAAGCATAGAAGGTTTTACATCAAGTCTAGTACCCTGA